CTTTCACAATCGGACTGATTACAAAATATATCTAAGAATACTATCTAAGTACTCCCAGAGACTACCTCAATTTATTTAGGCAATTTTAGTTTCTTATATATATGTACAATTTTCTTGTCTTTTTCTCTCTCTTCTTCTATATTTTTATTTTTAATTAACTCTTATTGTAGATATATAATTTATTTATGACCACACAGACATGCAATCTGTACTTATAATTTGCTCTAAAGGGACAACAGTACCATTTTCATTTCATTCATTTCCTAGTATGACATGTCCACAGCTATCTTTAAGCACACTAAGTTTGGTATTATGATACATGTTTGAAATTAACAAATCTACAAAACAAAATGAGTTAATGGCATTGCTAAAGATGATAATGCCACTTCAACTTTTGAGAAAGTTGAGTACTGTTTAATTTTGTGAGCTGTGGCAAATTAATCACTAATAAAACTTTCAATGCTCCCAGTATCAATAAGCCCATCAGCAGGAATGATATTGATTTTCATTTTTATGATTGATTTAGAAAGACTGAATGGAGAAGCTGCTGACAATTTTAATTTATTAGGTTCTATTGGTTATTCGAATGAGAGGTTTTAGTATCAACACTAATACTTATGCAATTATAGCCCAAGCCCTTCATCATATGATTCATTTGGCTTGGATATAGATGCAGTTGCTTGATACTTCCTTCTGGATGATTTACAAACTTTAGCACAGTGACCTATCTTGCTACAAAGTTTGCATACCACTTCTCGAGCAGGACAATTACTTGGAGCATGTTTACTGAACCCATAGAAAAAAAATTTTGAATTGGCAGCAGCTAGGAATTGAGCATGTTGAAAGCAGGTTTATCTTCAGAAGAGAACAAGTGAATTGATGCAAGGAGAGACTGATTATCTATTTCTGATTCAGAAAATGTCTGATTCTAGTGACCTAGCTTTGACTAGTGATCTAGAAGCCGTTGTCGAATATTGTTTGATATCAGACCATTTATAAAAGCATATATATTCATTTTTACAACTAATATGGTTATATAGCAATAGTAATTTATCTGCATCATTCGCTTGAATTGATGCTAGAAATATCTCAAATGTTTTGGTCCAATAGTTCCATTGGGGATGACGAACTGCTCTCAAGCTGTCTTGAGAAAAAGTACTCTTACAGGAAATAAACTAGGTGTACTAATAGATGAACTTAGGAATGTCCAAATTTCGAGTTCAAGAGTTAAAATACGTCTTAGGGAACGGTAATTATTGTCCAGAAGACCTGCTTCTACTGGCCCTCTTCTTACCACAGCTCATGAAGTTCCCAGACTGTTGTTTGCTGGACAACTTGCGGAATGGACAGCTCACTGTAAGTAAGTCCTCTTAAGCGATGGTTCCAGATTTGCTCTTGCACTCACCAGATGTATGGAAAAGAGTGTGCAGAAAGGGATGAGAGAGGTATAGAATATGCGATATTTCTTACAGATTAAGTTTTGGAGGAGGATCAGTAATGGTGTGGTAGAATTAACATGGATACCGCATATAACTTCACAGTATATAAGTAAGTACACTGACTGCTTAAAAATAAGGGACAGAAGCTATAGAATCATGTTATTTATCAATTTTTTTTAACAATGATAAAGACAATTAAGGCCTTGTACAGCCAATGTTGTTCGTCAATAACTAATTTTATTTGGATGTGGAAACATCACACTGCGCAGTCGTAATATTCAAAGACATCAAGTCCACCAACAACCAATATAAACTTAAGTAGACATAGAGTACATTTGATTTCTTAGGATGAATAGGATTATGTTCACCAGGGATTTTTAAAATTAATTTATTTTTTTGTTTTAACATTTATTAGTCTTTAAAGTATTAATTTGTATTCATTACAGATAAAAATTGTTAAATACCTACTAATGAACAGACTAAGTACATTAAATACAATAATTTTTAACAGAGGGAACTCTAAAATCATACGTCTGCCACTGTACAGGAGTATGATTTTTAACATAAAGAATCAATATTTTCCAAAAATAAGTCATATACACCATTAATTGAAAATATTCTTTATTAAAAAGGAAATAAATTTTTCCTACATCTAATTTAAATCTAAATATCAATCATTAGCGTACATGTAAAAAATAATTTTATAAGTAAAATTGTACAAATATATTACACCGCTACAATTGGTACAAAAGGTTGTATGTAAAAGATAAGTTTTTTTAAAGAAGAGTAAATAAACCATGATTTATCAGTATAATTTTATAATTTATTTCCCTCAGCTATTTTCCTATTTAGCAGACTAATAAATGAAACGTTTAGCTCAAAAAGAATAAACATGTTAAAACGACGTATTGCACTAACAGTGGCAAAATGTGTATTTTTATTTATTGCCTGCCTTGGCTATATAGTCAGAAACACGAGTTTGGCAGTGGTTAGATATCACACAAAACTTCTGCTATCCCTGCTAGAAAACAACTTCTTTTCATTTATGTTCACACCTTCTGAATCTTAAACATCGCCTTTGTTGGCAGGTGGCCTCCTGGGAACTGGTTCTCTTCATCCTCAATGATGTTAGAACCTACTGCTAATTTTCATTTGTACTTAATATATTTCTAGTATGGATAGTTGACTGCTGTTACTGAATGAGAGAACTCTCCCTCAGAGCGTAAAGCCTTGGCTGTCCAGGAGTGGGTAATGCAGACAATGACATGTTCAGTTGCAGCTGATATGACACAATTGTGGCATTAGAGGTCTATGTCCCTGCTATGTTACTGGAGCTTGGCATGGGAGTTTCCAAGGCCTTAAAAGCTTTGATATTCATTAGACTAGGACGACACATGCAGCTGCTACCTATGACCTGATAGTATAAAAATACTTCTTCAAGGTGTTAGCCACCACAGGTTGCCTTCATTCCCAAGGTAACCGTTTCCCAATTCCTCAGATTCTCGTTGACTCCTACCTGGATATTTCCTAATAGCCCGATAGAGCCTTCTTTCTTCATTTTAAATCAATCTCAAGTAGGAGTAGGTTAAGAGGTACCCCTGACCATGCTGGAGGCTTGCACGTCTTATTATGCACGTACCTGTATTCAGAATTGGCTGCACTTCTGTCAGCATGAAAGATTCTGTATGAGTAAGGTGTATATGAGAATCTATTTTTAAAATTTAATTTGTTTATACAATTATTTATTGTCTCGTAGTATATAATGTAATTAAGTATTCACAATTGTACCAAACAAACGCTGCTTGAATTGTAGTTTTGTTGTTATTAGAAGACCAAGTGTTTCAGGATAAAGATTAATTTTTCAATAATATCTGAGTTAAATGTTGTGTACAGGTGATGAGCATGAAGCGAACTAGTGTAGGCGAAAGTTCAATTGACCTTGAGAAAACTGTTATCAATCTTGAAAGAAAATATAAGAAATTACTATCTGATCTAGAACAAAGGGCAGCAGTGCAACGAAAACGTGATTCTGAGGTTTTGTATTAAATATGAGAAAATTTAATCATACAACCACATGTGTAGTTATAAATTAATTCATTTTAAAAATTACTAACTGAGGCTATTATTATATTTTTAAAACAATTTTACAGAAAATTCAACAGCTTGAGGAAGAATTGTTAAAGTATAGGAGAAAAAAGTAGTTCCCACAATTTCATGGATGGCTTTACACCAGCTGTAACTTGATATGATATAATAAAAGATTAACAGATTTAGTAGTTACTGATTATCGTCTTTAAATAAAAAAAAATTATCTGAAGTATTCAAGTATATAAGGTCTATTATTATTTTACTTTAAGATTACAGAACATAGTAAACAAGTCAGAGCTCTACAGTTCAAAGATCACCTTCTTAGTAAAATGAAAATGAAATTTCTAGCAGTGTGGACATCATTCCAAAACTGACCTCATCTTTACCACCACATTAATTCAATTGCATTTTTAAAACCTATCAAATTCTGGTATGTTTGGACTAAATATATACAATATATCTCTTGGAGTACATAAAAGGGGAGTGAAAGGAAAAAACAAGTTATACAGAATATTTATTTATAAGAAATTAAAAAAGTTTATTTTAATTATGTAAACAAAGAAAGTTTCAACCTTTTTTTTCTTTTTATCCCCCTTTAACTGTGCTACATTTATCCAACTTTTACAAAAACTTCCTTCTTTAATCAGCTTAAGTCCATATTAATTAAGTTGAGGTTTATTAAAAATTTTTTTGATATTCACCTCAAGTTGTGTAAAGAGATGATGTGATTTCCTATCCAGTCACTTTAAAATAACTGTATTTTCTGCAAAAATCACTACCGTTGACTTTTGCAAAGCTTTTATTCATTTATTTTTGTCGTGATACAGGATATATCATGATAAACATAATTGCCTATAAAAACATTTTATTTATGAATACAAAAAAATTTAAAAATAATGATTTTTTAAATATTTTCCCCGTAAAGTGGTTATGGAATTGTGTTTTTCTCAAAAGTGATGTTTAATCAAATTTTACATTTATAATTTATTTTTCTTCAAAATATTAAGATAAATAACAAAATATTTCTATCTAGTATTTTTGTAGTCAATCATGGTTCATGTAGTAAATCATGAACATTTTCATGATCAGTCAACACGTTGACTGCCGACCTATGAGATAACTCATAGTTAGAATTCTGGTCTAGGACGAATTGTTTGTTTCGTAGGTTGTTTAGATACCATATTTTTGCAGCTATGATGTTGTAAACTGTGCTATTTTACTATTTTTCTGAAGTAAAATTAAAGTTTTAATAATATCAAGACTATACAAATAACCAAAAAATATTTTCCTAAGAGTTTTTCTAGGAGAAAGTGTTCGCTCAGCCACAAAGCTACTTGAATAAAGAATCCAAGTTTCAAACCAGATATTTTTTTTATTCAAACTAACACCTCACCGAAATTTTAACAAAAGAAAAGGAAATGGTTAATAGTTTACAAAATGTGTAAATCAGGCAGGTTATAAGGATATAACATATTCATGAAAAAATATAATTTAATTTTTATTGGACTTATTTACAAATTACTATGGAATTATATAAATACTTGTTATGACTATACAACTTATCAGCGCTATCTACAAACTTAAATCGTGGAATAGCTTTACAAAATTTGTTTTGTATAGAAAGAACAACAAATTGGCCCATTTTAAATTAAAAACAAGTAATCATACTCAACAAATATGATGTTACTTTCAAAGGTCTTTAAAAATCAATGATAGTTTTAAAACTAACAGGCACTTTGCTTAACAACTATACAGATAAAAATCAAATTTGATTTAAAAAGTAAAGTAATATATATACTCATAACCCATTACTTCTTTCCAGAAATTTCTTTCATGCGGTTTAAGGCGGAACCAGCTTTAAACCAGGAAATCTGCTGTTCGTTCATTGAATGATTCAGCATTATCTTGTCAGTCTTTCCATTCGAATGCTTTAATATGCATTCCACTTGCTGAAAAAAGATAAATAAAAAAATGTAAGTTATAAGATGATATATATTAAATATTTTCTCATGTTATGTTAAAAAGTTTTAGATTAACAGGCCACATCATATTTGGTGCGATTTTATACAATATTTGATATACCATTCAAAATTTGATCTTTGGCAATTAAATATCCTTCTTTTATTGTTATTTAGTTTTTATACTAAAAACTTGAGTTAGTAAATGCTATTAGTAAGATTTCATAAATCTTTTATGTATATTGAGATTCATTCTCTGAATTTAAAATTCATATAATTACATTGGAACTATTTTTACTATAAAACTACATAATTATTTTCTGCTAAAGTTTAGATTATTATTACCTTTCCAGGAGCTAATTTAGAAAGCCCCACTAATGAAAGTTTGTCATCAGGTTGTACTTTGTCGTAGTCACTTGCATTGGCAAAGGTAAGAGGCAGGAGTCCCTGTTTTTTTAGATTAGTTTCATGGATCCTAGCAAAGGACTTGACAATAATTGCCCTTCCACCAAGGTGCCTGGGTTCTAGGGCAGCATGCTCCCTGGAGCTGCCCTCACCGTAATTCTCATCTCCTACTGCGACCCACTTGATTCCAGCAGCTTTGTAAGCTCTGGCGGTATCTGGCACAGTACCCCATTCGCCGGATTGCCTGTTCTTGACTTTGTTTAATTCTCCGTTCTCTGCATTTGTAGCGCTAATGGAAAAAAAAAATGTATTATTAAAACCTGTGATGGAAAAATATTAGTAAAAGTAAACCTATGATTGTAGAGAATAATAGGGCAAATTCATTTTAAAATGATTTAGTTTTTAAAAAATTTTTTTTTTTTTTTACTTCAATACAAAATTCAGAAATTATCATTTTATATAGGAATTAAAAACCAAACTTAGGAAATAACTTTTTACAACATTGCTCTGAAAATTAATTGTTTTTGAATAATCCACAAATTTCAAAGTATCACAGATATTGCTTATTTAGTTAATGATTTTGTTCTTTAAAAATCAGTTGTATTTATGGATTTTTTAAACAATGTTTTCAAAACTATTATTCATCCTACATTTAAAAATAAAATAAAACACCCACAAGAATATAAATTGTTTTAGTATAATAAAACTATGTACAAATGAAGCACACAAACGTATAATGAAACATTATTTATATTTTTAACTCTTATCTATTTACCATTAAATAGGTACTTACGTGAGGAATAAATTGTTGGAGATATTGTCTAGATGACCTCTGTACTTAAGCCAAGGTCCAGCAGCTGAAATGTGATCAGTTGTGCACTTCCCTTTGACCTATATATCAATAAACTTAAATAAGTTTTATAATTTACTGAGTTATGAAATAAGTTTTATTTCTGTAAAATTTTATTATAAAACTGTTAGTAACAACTGAAAGGAATTTTAAGACTAGTAATAAAGTTTTAAAAATATAGTTAAACTATAATGAAAAAGTTTTATTTCTACGAGAAACATTGATGGAACAGATTACAAATTGTTGTGAATAGTTAAGAACATTTCAAGTTATTATAACAACATTTGGCAAAAAAATAGAATACTAATTCTACAGCAAACTAAAATGTTATCATCCATATTTTGTATTAATATGAATATTTTAACATTTATAGTGTTTTTAGATTTTGATTTTGAAAACAACTTTTTTTTAAAAGCAGTTAATGAGTACAACTCGCTAATGTGTCATTGTTTTCCTAAACTTCTTATTAAAACACAAAGATAATTTTGTCATTGTCATTCCTATTAAATTGGTGACCTCATGCTCTATAATGTGTAAATACCCTTTACATTAATGTAGTTCCGCATACAAACTAAGACTATTCTGACTTCGTAGCAGTTGATCATGAGCAACAATTTCACAAAGTCACACCTTTATTTAGCACAAATGGAAAGTATCACAAATCTGTCTCGGTTTTGCCAAATAACTATAGTAAATGACTGTTAGGCCCCTATTATAGTTCGTAAACTAGGTAAGGTGGGCGGCCAGGTAGCATGACCAGAAGGTGACCAACAGGCCAACTGCTCAGCAGTCTAAACTACATGTTCAAAGTAGTAGTAGTGGATTTTTTGAAGAGGGAAATTTGACAGATGTAATAAAAATATTAAAATTATTTTGTAGTAGAATAACAATATTAAACAAATTATTATCATTAACAAGTATTGCCAAACAGTAATAATATTATATAATTTGTTAAAACTTTTTTCTTTTCTTATGATAATAGCATAAAAGTTTTTAACTCAGAAAAACTGGAATTTTTTTTTTTGAAGTCCACATTTTTTCTTCTTAAAAGGATTTTTTATCAGTGAAATACATTTGTGACATATTGTGGTATTTTTAAACCTTAATCTATAATTGATTAAATGTAACAATTAAATAACAATTCCACTAAAAATAAAAAGCCAAAATAAGGTAGTTAAAAAAAAAAGTAAAAGCAAATACAGATTATAAAATTATTATATTAATATACTTAATTAATTTTTAAGTTACATTATAAGAAAAGACTAAAAATAGGAAAGAAGCATTATTAATAAAAAAAAACTGATAACAAAATTCGTTGATAACAAAATTAGTGGATGGGTGAGAAGAGCAATGGTGTCAATGGCAATGGTCACGCTATGGTCACCATGGCCACACCTGTCCATTTTTTACATTGGGACATTGTTTGCACTAGTAAGGAGATAAACATACAAGTCCCCACTCCTAGGTGGTGAGCCAGATGTGAGAGAGGGGCGCCTAGTAAGTTTTTTTTTAACTTTTTTTCAGGTTTTCGCTTATATAAGAAAAACTATCCATTGCATCAACAAAGATGTTCTATACAAAATTAAAGCTGATAAATTTTTTAATATGATTGATTAATAACTTTTTTCCTTATCTCACTTAGTTTCAGAGATATTCGTCGTCAACTATGACTAATTTTGAAAAAAAAAGTTTTGCCTTATAGCTGTTTTTTGAGTTTTCGCTTATATCAGAAAAACTGTCCATCGCATCAACAAAGACGTTCTATACAAAATTATAGCTGATAAAATTTGCAATATTATTGATTATATACCTTTTTTCGCATTCCGACTTAGTTTCTGAGATATCCGTCCTCAGCTATTCCTAATGTGGGAAAACATTTTTTACCTCATGTTTTTTACTATATTTAACTAGCTTACTTTTGATTGCTTCATTTTATGATTAATTCTTAAGGAAGAAAGTTTTTAATAATTAAATTAAAAACTATTATTTTTTTTCTGCTAATTCTCAGAATCGACTATAAAGTTATAACTGATCTAATTTTGAATTGTTGGAGATAAACTAGTAAAATAATATATATTCTTCAAGAAAATCTAAAAATTTTCCAAATTAGTGAAAGCTGAGGGCGGTAGTATATCTTATATATATAGTATATCTTATATATCGGTAGTATATCTTGGGCGGATATCTTGGAAACGAAGCGATGGATAATTTTAATGGATAAGCGGAAACCTGAAAAAAGTGATCTACTAGGTGCCCTCTCACATCTGGCTCACTACTTAGGAATGGGGACTATTAGTATATTTACCTCCTTACTAGTCCACACAATGTTCCAAAGTCAAAAATTATGTTGCAGCCATTTCCTTCTATACCCCCTTTTCTAGCATTCATTGGCTGGATTAAATAGGAAAGAAAGGAATGTTATCGGGTCGAATTTTTTATGGGTAGTTTTCAACAATCTTTATGGTTCAGAAATAGAATAACATAAACAAATAAAATTAAACAGTACCTTAATAAGGATTGTCATGTCTTCAAGGTCCTTCCCATCCCACTTGTCAAAAGGTTGAAGGATCTGCAACCTCTGTGATTTGGAGTCCACGTCTACATTCACCTTTGACCCATCAGATGGGGGAGATTGGTAGGTGTCTACACCAGGATCGAATCCCTTAACAGGGAGTTCATCACCAAATGGATCACTCAGCTTGAAATCACTACCTGTAAATTATTATTGTACATTTAAATATTAAACTTGATTATGATATTTATCTGAATTATATTATAAATTAAGTTTGTGGAGAAAAGTAAAAGTTATTCCTTTCTGAAAAATTATGAGTACCTTCATCAATGCATATAACAACGTTTATTTAAAATAGTTAATTATTTTCAACAATGAACCTTTGCAGTCAACCAAGCAACATAAAATTTTAGTATCTCCTGTCAAAATTTGAGATAATACATTTTAATTGTTTATGAAGAAAAAAATCAATGAAAAGGGCCACTCTTTAAGAGTTAATCATGGCACAGACATGTCAATAGTTAAAAATGTAAATTCTAGACTCTGGCGACTCGGAAATGTATATATCTAAATGGACACCCAAAATTGTATTTTTTTTTTGTTTTTCTTCCCTTCCTTGCTTTATAGACTAAAGGGGTCTTCCCAGGGCCAAGAGGTGAGGATAGGGAGATTAATGATAGAGTTAAAAGCCTCTCCCCAAGTACCACAACACAATCTCGTAATTATTTTGTCATCTATAACTTCGGATATCAAGTTGCCGGGCAACTTATATATATAAATGTGTTATATTTATCCCCAATGTTTATAAAAGGCTGAGATATGGGTGTATGGAATTTCTTTCTAATCAGTCTCTACTACAATTCTGAATGGCAAATTACAATGTCAATTTCTGAGGATCATGCTAGGATTACCTGTGATATTGTTGCATTTCTAAAAAATAAATTGGACCAGTATACCTCAGAATAAAGCCAAGGAAGGCCATTTAATTTCTTTATAATTCTTTTAGACTTAATCTTATTTAAATTAAAACCTGAAATCTCGATTCATGTGTTGAAGTTACATTTTTTCTTGTTCGATTACCAAGGTTCATTAATTAAATAATCAAAACAAAAAATTAATGAAATCAACAGCAGATTAGACTAACAGATTAAATTATCATAAAATCACTTACCATCAGCTGCTTTGATTTTGTCAGTTCTTGGATCAAAATCAAGGCTTCCTTTAATAGCCAAAGCGGTAACAAGTTCAGGAGATGTGACGAAAGCATGAGTTGCAGGATTAGCATCATTACGGCCAGTGAAATTACGATTATATGAATTTACAATAGTATTTTTTTCACCCTTTTTGACATCTTTTCTATCCCATTGGCCAATGCATGGACCACAAGCATTAGCTAAAACAGTACCTCCAAATTCTCGAAGAGTTTGGGCCTGAAAATATTGCACTATTAAAATAAATGACACTTGAAAATATATTAATAAAACTAAATTAAAAATAAGTCATACTTACAATTCCATCCCTTTCTATAGTTGCTCTAACTTGCTCAGATCCAGGTGTAACATTGAACGGTATTTTAGACTTCACACCATGCTTCAAAGCTTCCCGTGCAATAGAGGCACAACGAGCCATATCTTCATAAGAAGAGTTGGTACAGGAACCAATCAATCCTTTAAAAAAAAAAAAAGAAGTTTTTTAGAAAGTTTTTACTTTAATAATCCTATATCAAACAACAATATAATGTAACAACAATCATTTTGTTACTTAAAGTAAAGAAAGTATGATGATATATAAGATAATATTATTTTAGATCAATTTTCTCATATAAATATTAAAAGTCAAACTTGAAATGAAATTGGATTTCTTGCATAAAAAGATGTTAAGTTTAAAATAAAAGCGAATATTTGGAATAAATGACTATGAAATGAAATCATCAGGAATAACTTAGGCCCTTATGGATGGCTTTTATAATTCTTAAAAAAGATTTTAATGTGATGTATTGAGAGTGAACAAAGAGAGTGATTGTCACTTATGTATTGCAAAGGCCATTGAGTACGTTTTGGGCCACTTAAGAAGAAAGATTTTGCATCCAATAGGTACATACATTTTTAAACTATGTTAAATACACCTCTTGGAATTCGTCCCTTTTCAATGAGGTTTGTCTTCTTTTGATACATTATCAAAATCCATCTAATGAAAACTGAAAAAAAGATATATACAACATATGGAAGACTCTAATCAAGAATAACTAAGTCAAATAAACATCCATACTGTGGAAGTATTAAAAGTCATAGCCAATTGATAAATAAAGGAAGATTTCCAACAATTTCTGTTTCATCTCAAATAATTTATTTATTATTGTAATTAATCCTCCTGTCCACTACTGGATAGGATTCAATGAAAATTCAGGAGGTCATTTCAGAAAATTGATATCAAAATCACAAACAACAGTAGACAAATAAGATTCATAACTAAGAGGTGCAGAATTTCTGTCAAAGACTAGACAAAATCATACCAGATAGTAACTTTTATCATTCAAAAATTAATGTAATCAGTTTATTTACAAATAAAATACGACATGAATACTAATAAATATTATAACTATACAGGAGATAATGCTAAAATATCTGGTGGCGCAACATTAAATGTTATTTAGTGGAGTTTGGGATAAAAATTTTTTTCCTTGTCGTTCCTTTTGTTTTCATAGACCTTTTAGATTTTTGGCCACCTGAAACCAGCCCATCTTGGACTATTGCTCTTCCAGTTTGCTGTAAGCAACTCTGCATTATCCTTATTAATTCTATTTATCCATCTGATTTTTGAACTATTGAGGCATTCATTATTGTGTAGAGGCTTCTCTATGGATTGCTCTGAACTACATGCCCCACCCATCCTAACCTCCTTGCCTACATATCATGAAATATTGATTAACCAGTAGCTATTGATTTGTAGGTAGCTGTTTATTCATCTCTCTATTCCATGCATAAGCACTCTGAACCCATATCATTCCAGTTAGCATGCATAGGAGAATCCTCTGAAATCTTTCATATACTTCTTTCTAGAGTGCTGCTTAGTGTTCAGATCTCTCAGCCGTATATCAGAATTGGCTTTATCATAGCATTGTACATCCTTAAATTAAGAATTCTACTCAGTTTTTAGAGATTTCAATGTTTAAAAAATGAGAAACCTATATTTAGGCTTGTTATAAACTGGTCTATTTCAGACTGTTGGTTATTTATTGAGATTATTGTGGAGCTAAGATATTTGAAGCAGTCAACTCTAGGGCATGACTTTTCCCAACATAGATCCTGTTATTGGGATGGATTTGTTGACTTACCATCATATATTTTGTTTTATCTTTGTTGACTTATGGACCAGTTTGTTCTGCTTCTCTTATCAGGACCTTAGTGAGTCTCTGAACATCCTCTTCATTGCTTCCAAGAACAGCAATATCATTTTAACTTCACAATTGTACCCTTACTCCTACAATAACTGAATAAAAATTAATGCAATTGAAATGTGCTTCACTAGTTTCCAGACACTTCTTTATAATTTATTATAAAAACCATTCTTGTTTAATGTCTGGGAATAGGCCAATACTCCAACATGTAGTATAATACTCCAACAGCTTACATTTTAAAGAAGCAGAATGCAAAAACTGTAAGATATAATTAAATTTTTTTGTGCACTTTAATATCTGCATCTATCACCACATGTTTATCTTATTCTTGGAATCATGGACAGTTAGCTAAAAAATCAAATATTTCCAGGTAATTGAAAGTGCTTTACAGGAATGTGCTCTGAAATTCTGACTTTTTGTGAAGTACAAATTTTTAAAAGCAGGTGGAACATAGTTTGAAAAATTGAAAATTATGTTATAATAGTTATTCTTGTTTTAATTTAAAAAAAAAAAAGAGTAAATCACTAACACCAACCTCTCCATGACACTAACACAATAACAATTATTTCTTAAAAGTATTGTAATAAGAAATATTTACTGTTTTGCATTATAATAGGCTCCTAACGTGACATAATAGATGACAAATACAAATTCTACAAGAGTGCCTGTTATGAATTAAAATGAAATGTGACAAAGCTGTAAATGCATAAAAAGGCAGCATAATTTACTCTGTCTGACACGTTTTCTTAATATATTCATCTTCAACCACTAAAAGAGATCCAGTCCACAGTTTTCCTTCAGAGGATATTTTCAAAATTAAATACAAACTTATACTATTAATATAACTCGTAATTTTTATAATTATCTTTCATAATAAATGTAACCCTCAACGAGTTACAAATAGAAAATATACATTAATAATCTAAAATTACAATTAATTCATTTTCAGAAACTATAATTAATAATACAGTTGATTCTTTCTCACCACTAGACTTCACCTCTGAGATGGCATTATATTTTCACAAGTATTTACACATGTAATATTTTATTTGAGTTAATTCAATATCTTAATTATTTCAAAATCAAAATTACACTTTAAAATAAATACATACCAACTTTGATCTCTAGTGGCCATCCATTTTTCTTGGCATTTTCTCCAAGCTTGGATATGGGATGAGCAAGATCTGGAGTGAAAGGACCATTAACATGCGCTTCTAAGGTTGATAAATCTATTTCGATCGTCTGAAAAAACACAAATACTTTTGTAGAAATGGAAAATTTAAGAGCTCAATTAAAATCATACATAAAAAACCCAAATAAGTTTACATTGCAACAAATACTTGTACATAAATAGTTTGAAGGCCATTTTAGAAAGAGGTATTACTAACTTGATCGTAAGGAGCTCCCTCATCTGGGGTAAGTAAATCCTTATAATTTGCAGCTTCTTTGGCTATTTCGCCCCTGTTTGTGGCATTAAGGTAATCAGCCATCCTCTTGTTGAATGGGAAGAGGGAAGTTGTAGCACCAATTTCAGCTCCCATATTGCAAATTGTACCCATACCTGAATTAAAAGTAGAATGTTTAATGGAAATAGTACTAAATAGTAAAATGGAAAAATGGTGGATTCAGTCAGGATTTTGAGCCTGGTTTAGCAATAACTTCTGGAGTCCACTGAGCCAAAAAATACAGTATCTTAGCTGATATTAATTTGCTAACATCTCAACTAAACTGGTTTTGACCAAATATTAGACCGATCAAGTTCTTCAATGTTAATATTGATATCATTATTCTGAAACTATTTACTGGCTTACAAGTCTAATTTTACTTTTTTGTAATGCAGTTAAAAAGACATAAAAATGATTATTTTACTCACCAGTACAAGAAATGTTATCAACACCTGGACCATAATACTCAATAATTGCACCAGTTCCTCCCTTTACAGTAAGGATTCCAGCTACCTTCAAGATGACATCCTTAGGAGACGTCCAACCTTTGAGAGCACCGGTCAACTTGACACCAATAACTTTAGGGCATTTCAATTCCCATGGAATGTTTGCCATCACATCAACAGCATCAGCACCTCCAACACCAATGCAGAGACCTCCAAGACCTCCGCCATTTGGTGTATGTGAGTCAGTACCAATCATCAGGAGGCCGGGGAATGCATAATTCTCAAGAATAATCTGAAAGAGTATTCATTAAATTATCTTTCAAAACACTCTGTATTATAACAAAACAATAATATGTCATTGCAGTAATTTCTAAAGGAAATCACATTCTGTAACTAATTTGAATATTTGAAATAAAATGCCATAGGTAAATGGAACTTTATTTTTATTTTTTATTATTATGATACTAATTAGTAATTTTAAAACTAAATAATTATAATGAACATACCTGATGAATAATTCCTGAACCAGGATGCCAGAAACCAACACCATATTTAGCTCCAGCGCTTTTCAAGAAAGAATAGACTTCTTCATTGACGTTCTTTGCTCTTTTCAAGTCTTCGACTCCTCCCACTTGAGCTTCAATTAAATGATCACAGTGAATTGTAGAAGGAACTGCTACTTTTGGAAGCCCTGATGAAATAAACTGAAGCATAGCCATTTGAGCTGTAGCATCTTGCATAGCAACCCTGTCAGGCCGCAATCGCAAGTAAGAAGTACCTGCAATGTTATTAACACTTTGTTATAAACTTAATATATTCAGTAAATCTTGAGTTATCATTAGCCAATGAACAACAAATCACCCAATGAGGAAGAATTAAGAATTAGTTAGTATAGGATATATTCATTCATCCAGCACTTCTTAATATAATGGAAATAATGCTAAATGTAACAGCAAACTTTGCGGATTCAAAACAGTTTTAAATTTAAACCAGATACACTGATAATAGCTACTTATAGTAAGAGCAAAATATAAATGAAAAACTACTATAGGTTACAAAACAGTATACATGTTATAAAATGATAAGTTTATTATTACTGTTTTACTCATTTACAACTGAGCAACCTTTATATCTGGTTTCATTAATTAATTTGAAGGAATACAATAAAATGATTTATTAATAATAAACTTTAAAAAGTTATTATTATTGAATAAATTATATGTTTAATAGGTATATATTGAATAAAATAATTTTTAATTTTATTTCATTTATTTTTAAAAAATGTTCATTAGCTGTTAGTCATATTATTAAAGAAACCTTCATGAAATCTTTCTCGCTTTATTTATTAATTAAACAATCTAATAAATAATTTTACTGACTCTGATGTACGATAGCCAAGGTTAAATTATTATCAGCAAAAAATAGTAAAATAAAGAAAAAGCAAAACAACCACCACTCACTAAACCAGATAACAAAGATCATATATTTCATAAAAAGTTGGGAATTTAACATGCCTCTTCCCGAGGTCATTCACAATCAATTAATTTTACATAACAGTTTGGAATTATAATCAATTATGAGATAATACTAATAGCATAAAAAATCCAAACATATTGTTACTGATAAGAGAAGTGATAATGTTCGTTCTCATTCATATATAAATAAATTAAAATACATTTTAACTATTTTTAATAATTAACTAATAAAAAGGACCATTGTTTATCACCACCAAGAAAAAAAATAAATTTTTTTGTTAAATTACATTACAATTTATATTGTAAAGTTTTGGTCCTATCAAATTGGCTATTTTCAGACAAAATATTGTATATATAAACAAAAATCTAACATATATTATGTATGTGAGGTTCTCGTTTCAGTGGACAATATGAATTTTTAATAGATATTATTTACATTTGTATGAAATATCATCAATAATGATCAACAAGACCAAGAATATAAGCTATAATAAGAAAAACATTTTAAAAAATTGTAAGGTAATGAATACTTCTAATAGAGGAGTATGAGTATGTTTTTAGACAAAAGAGGATATACATTAATAAAATATTGTGATTTTTTTGTGTTTAGGATAAATAGTATATTACTTGAAAATTAATGATTAATTGATTGTCAAAATATTTTAATATCCATTAATAATTAATTGATATAAAAAAAATAAATCACCTAATAAATAGTAAAAATAACATTATATTTATTATAAACCTACCATTCATGGATTTTTGCAAGACTAAATTTTTAAAATATATCTTTTATACATTTTAATCAACTTATTCTCAATACAGAAAAAAGTAATACCTCTTTCGATTTCTTGTCCTTGTGGGTCATCCAAGTGCGAGTACAGAACTTTCTCGGATAAAGTCAATGGTCTATTCAATCTACAACAGTTCAAAAATAAAATTTTAATTTTTCTTTAATATGAAAGTAATTAATTTGATTGTATGGTGATAAATATTGAGGACACAGTAAGCTTTTATTAGTGTCGACGTTTCAACCCAAACATGTGGGTCATCATCAGGGCGTGTTTCGAGTACTGAAGGTATTCAAGTGTATCAATGACTTGAAACACGCCTGATGATGACCCAGATGTTTGGGTTGAAACATCGGAACTAATAAAAACTTTATAATGACTGTGTTCTGAATATTTACCACTCATGATATGTAGAACAGTCGACTAACTTCCTTAAATAATTTTACTATAGTAACATTATTAATTAAGAAATAAAAATACCGTTTCTTAATAATGCCTAGATTTTTCCTTAGTTTTTCATATGGAAGAGAAACATTTGAATCAAACTTGCTCATAGCAACAGCCAGTGCAGGTGCCGATTGATGGAAGCATCTTGCAGTCTGTATACCAACCACTAAACCCTGAGACTGAAAATAAAGGAACATTAACAGTTATTTCACACTAAATCTATGAATAATTTATAAAATCACCTATAAAAAAATTAAATTAATATAAAATTTTAAAAATCCTTATAGGGCACATTTCATAATATTATACTAACAACTGGTAACTAGGAATTTTACCTTTTTCACTACTGTCTCATGATTTACTTCTCTAAAAAGTTCGATTTCTTTTCTACAACGCTATGTGACTATAAGGTGATCAGAAGACACTGACTTTCAGACAAAGTGTCTTAGAATCTTCTGGATTTGTTGTTGGACACGTCAATATCGTGCTTTGAATGCTAAAATGGAACTTCAAACAGGGGTGCTCAGAAGAGAGTTTCATGGCGCAAGTTGCACCTTAAAATGTTATGAGGGGAGGGCACATTTTCATGTAGTTTTGTATTTTTGAGGGGGACATATTTCCATAAGGTTATGAATTTACGGAATGAAAAGTTTCAAACCAGAGGACAAGGGGAAAACAATAAGTAATTGTATATAATCTACGATTTTTCTAATTCTACTTACACCTGCAATGTTTTAAAGAGGTAAGCAGCAAAATATCTTGGGAAGGGAGGAGGCGAGAAATTAAGCACCCCTGACCTCAAATATCCATCCCCTAATTTACTGTTGTTCTAAATAAAATCTATTAATTATTACATTATAATTTACCCAAACAGTTGTGTATAAAAAATATCCAGTATGTACAATTACATAACTTACATATCCACTCTAAGTGAGTCTGATCAAAAACTTGTTTCCAATATCATTATTAATATTGTTCTGGTTAAGATTTCATTTTTATTTTATTTTTCGTTTTTATATTTGAGGTGTTTGATTTCAAAACCGGTTACATTTATTTTCAAACATTTTTCAAAACTGATTAAAGAAGATTTCATTAAAAAAAAAAAAAAAAAAAAAATCAATTTAAAATTTTTTAAAATTATTTTGGAAACAAATCATTTTAAAAAAAAATTATTGAGAACTTTTTGTGACTTTCTCTTTTTATTAAATCCCATATAATACAAAAAATATGTTGGATGTATTAAATTTGATTAGAAAATATCGATTTATGGTTGTTTTATGGTTGAAAAAAAAATCACTTTTAGTAATTTAACAAGATATACACATAATTTTAATTTTTTACATATAAAAATTTCCATTGATATCTTTAATGTTTCCAAGATTCTTTAGGTCTCTGCCTTTTCCTAGGTTGCATTAATTTAATTTCAGACTTTTTTTTATGAAAATGTTTGTTGTAAAGCAAATATTTAAAGAAAGGATTTCATGTTTAAGCCATCTAAAGTAAACATCTAAAAAACTCAAACCATCTATGACTATTTTGATAAAAAATGAGAAGGTTAACTATCAACAACAAAAAGGTGTTTAATAGAAAACGGAGTCTTTTTTTGGTGTTGATTTTTGGAGGACGTAGACAGATTTAAAATAAACTGAACACATCTAACACACTTCTAGCATTAAAGGCTTATAAAAAATGATAAAAAAAGGATGTAATCATTATTAATATTGATCTAGTTAAGATTTCATTTTTTTTTTTTTTTTATTATAGGCGTTTGATTTCAAAATCAGTTACATTTATTTTCAAACATTTTTCAAAACACCTCATTTAGTTTGTTAGACGATTTATTAAATATAGATTAATTCAGTTGTAGGTACAGAGCTCATCTCGGTACCAAATTAGATTGATTTTATGCTGCACAGCAGTGACTGAAAAGAAAAAGGTCTGATTCGCAGATAAAACTGAAAAGCTGCTTTTTTATTATCTTTTATGCTTAAATTTATCTTTTATGGCTTGAAAGGTATTGCTCAACAGAGACTCCTCAAGGATTTAAATTACATTAGTATCCTGTGCGGCTTGTGAACTATTACAGAGAAATGGACAAAGAATTTTAATTTTAACTGGTATACTATTTCAAAAATTTGTATCAGTTTTCAGTTAAGTAACATCTCGTTTTCTGTTCGGGTTTAACACCCTCGAGATCAGTGGGAAGAAGGTCATGTCAACAATCCGTTCTCACCAATTAGAGTAGCACCGTGGAAAGTATAAATGAAAACTAAACTAAATTCAGAAGGGAGTACTAGAGGATGAGTAGTTGTGACGTCACTGCCCTATTAATAATAATAAGGCAGACTTAATAGGCCTATATTATTAATAGGCTTAATAAGCCTCTAAATGAGGAGAGATACTGCTGAATGGACATATACATGTTCTCCAAAAAGAACTTTTTTTATTATAATGTTTCCTCACTGTATATGCAAAACTCTATGTCAACATTGGTCAATATTCCATTCAACATTCAGCTTCCATTCTAATCTAACTTCGTCATGACGCGCATAATTAATAAATTATCTTTGTAACTTTATTGACCAAGAATAAATTTTTACTGTAACACGAGTATAATAATTATAATATAATAAATACGTCACTTATTGTTTCATTGAGTTGGATTAAAAAAGAAATATTATAAAATGAGTTGAAAGATAACATTGTACCTCTAACCATAAAATATAAATTATCTAATTGTAAGTTGGAAGAGACACATTAATAAAAATACATTAATTTCTATAGCACAATTCAACATAATTTTATAAACTCTTTGCATAAAATCTGCAAATAGATGTTAAAATTACCACATGAATTTTCTTAATAAAGTAATTAACTAGATTAATTGTGAGAAGATTGGCGTCGGGAGGTGGCAATCGCATGCAGTCAGCCACTAGCTCTCCACGTTGGAGGATCTGGGAGCTCACGTAAGCACAGTGAATTATAAGAATAAACGACGTTCATCCTAAACTCTTACGAATGTCTCATCCGAAACCGTGGAGAATTCTATAACTACAGTATTCAAAGTGTCTATATCCCACGGAAGTAACCAACGAAGAAGATAAAGAACTTTTTTATGGTCTCCTCCAAAGAACTTTTGATGCTAGCAAGATATGTCATGAACTTAATTGTGGGAGTTTCAACACCAAGGTGGAAAAGGACAAGTGAATTGTAAACTTTGTAGCATCCAACTATCTTATTGTAGGCAGTAATATCTTCCCTCACAAAGATAAAGTAATGCAGAAAGGTAAGGCACACCTAGTGGGAAAATATGTTAACTATAACCCTGAACTTGTTCGAGAAACTTAACACCAAGTATAAGCCAGTGATAATCTCCCCTGATGGTTGAAAAATAAAGTACCTAACATATATGTCCTGATCGTAAAATTTTATCGTGAAAATAGCATTTAAACATTGAACCTAAAGTGGTAAGAACTATGTACGTATGGAAAATAAGCTGTCAAAATGTTTCATGGGAGGGGGTTAATTTTTACAAGATTATAAATACCTGAGTGGGTTAAATTTTAACGGACTAGTGGATTTTGGAGGAAAGAATGAATGAATGAGAAATGCTTTATTAAATATGTATACATTATAAATTTCCAAAAATACAAAGAACATTTATACGACATGATTACTCGTCTGCCGGAAATGTTTTACATGTACAGTACAAATAAAGATCTTATAACAACTGCATATGCATGAATGACTAATAAATAATAAAACAACTAGCACAATATAAAATAATAAATATTTTGAATAATTTACGCCTCAGAAACAATAATAAAGGAAAATAATGGAAATAATAAACAATAACAATGAATGAACATACCACAAATAAATTAGACGGAACATTGTTTATACTGGATGTAGCAAATTAAAACGGTGTTTCCACGCATGTCGAGCAAAACCGACAATTTTACGACATTCGTTCACAGAGGGGGCAGTTAGAAGGGAAATTACGATACCATTTCGAACCGGGCTAGTTCCAAGAAATTCGATACGAATTTGACCAAGTATTGAACACTCAACCAAAAAATGGAACAGGTCCTCCCTTACTGGTAGGTTACAGAATGGACAATCCGTATATTCCATGTCAAGCCATGGGATGTAATTCAAATAAAGGATTGCACACCTGAGCTTGAACAACCAACTCAACTCGCGTCCAGGCAAATCCCAACAGCAGCCATCTACGAATTTCAAAATTTTAAGATCGTGACTCAATTCCCTATATAATAGAAATCTATGAGAATTCAATGCCGCTAATTTACATTGCTCCAAATGTTGCCGAGTGATTGCAGACCGTATAGTTGCCAACTGGTCTTTTTCTCTGGTCTGGATTTTGGAGGAGATTCATTGCTATTTTTGGGGGTTTTAATTTAAAAGAACTTTCAAACAAGAGAAAACGAAACTACGATTTTTATAATTCTACTTTCACTTGTACTCCTTTATGAAGAGGAGGACAATAACAAAGAAGGAGGGAGGGAGGAGAGAGCACTCCTGATTCTATCTCTCTCTACAGATACTTAGGCTTATAATTAGAAGCTGCCTATCTTGTAGCTGATTTTTCGTTTATAATTTTTCCTCGGAAACTTTGAAGAAATAAAGTACCCAATCTAAGGCGGCGACACGAAAATTTCAGAAGAACGTTTCTCCCTTAAATGCATTATTTAAATCTTAAATGAACTAATGAAAGTTTGAGCTGGTTCTATGACCTCGTGGCTATGAGAAGAAATAATATTTATTTACTAGTTCATTAATAAAATCGTTGCCCTTGACACATTACTAATTTATCAGTAGACAGGCACGCGAACTTTGAAACTGAGAATGTAAGATAAGAAACGATTGAACTCCTAAATGATAACAGACTCGAAACAGTGTTAGTATCTTTCATATTGGGAAACTGGGACAAAATATGGTAATTGATGCCCCTTATATTTTGTTGATTAATAAATCCAATATTTTTATGGATTGTTAAAAATGATAAAACATATATAGTATATTGTACTTTTTGAACATGTACCAGAGTTGTCCTTGAATCTACATGGGTTAATAACATGGTTATTTAACTTATGAAAAAGTAAAATTTACTAGACATCAATGAATACATGCCTTGGTAAACTATGACTATTGAGCTATG